TTTGGGATATTTCGGAGACCCTTAAAAAATAGTTAAAATTCAAAAATTTTGATTTCCATGGATTCTATGCCATTTCTACGAAAAGTCTTTTTTTCCCCATACAAAATACATGGGAAACTTTGAACGCTTTGAGCGACCTCTAAATATATTTTGATTTTAAAATAAAAAAACAGGGGTATATTTTTTACGGTACAGAACAATCCTAGGGGGTGAGAGCATTAAATTTCCGACTTTACTTTTTTTTGGACCACCCTAGTGTACATACATATGTATTCACTCTAGTGGGTTAAACAATAGAAATTCCTTTATAAAGCAGTAATTTGCCCGGAATTTGCTCACGCTGGCAAATTATGTAAATATGTATAAACAATGCATTTCTGAGTTAATATAACTCTGGCCTTAGCAGAGATTGCAAATTCGAAATAAATNAGACACACATTATTTAGTTGGCAAGTTTACAATGGATTTCTCTGAATAATTGTATAATACAGATACATGTGTAGATACATTGCGAATAATTAGCACAACTTACATACTTGTTTTTGCATACCTCAGTTTGTATGCAAACTCGTATGTATGTATGTGTACATTAGGGTGGTCCAAAAATGTATGGGAGAAACACTGCTTCTCTTCAGAAGACTTCAGAGAATAATGCCCAATTGTTTATTTAAACGTTTTTTAATTTAAACTATTTTTTCTTTTTTTTCTTTTGTATATTTCTGTTTGTATATTTGATTTTTTTTGGGATATTTCGGAGACCCTTAAAAAATAGTTAAAATTCAAAAATTTTGATTTCCATGGATTCTATGCCATTTCTACGAAAAGTCTTTTTTTCCCCATACAAAATACATGGGAAACTTTGAACGCTTTGAGCGACCTCTAAATATATTTTGATTTTAAAATAAAAAAACAGGGGTATATTTTTTACGGTACAGAACAATCCTAGGGGGTGAGAGCATTAAATTTCCGACTTTACTTTTTTTTGGACCACCCTAGTGTACATACATATGTATTCACTCTAGTGGGTTAAACAATAGAAATTCCTTTATAAAGCAGTAATTTGCCCGGAATTTGCTCACGCTGGCAAATTATGTAAATATGTATAAACAATGCATTTCTGAGTTAATATAACTCTGGCCTTAGCAGAGATTGCAAATTCGAAATAAATGCATTTTATCTGCTGAGCTAGAGGAAAAAGAAATCGCTCGCTGATTAGAGAAAACTTACTTGTGTCAGGTGTGATGTAAAAAATCCCTACGAATATTGGGCGCTAGATCTAAAGGTTATTTGGATTATTTAATAAGAAATAGTTGTATTGTGGGCATTTACGGAGTGGATAGCCTAATTTATTTCCTGCCTTGTGACTCAGGCGAAATCGCTTCTTAAAAATATTCTAGCTAATTCACGACGATTTCTTGACTGGTAACAAAACAAAAAATATACCAGTGAGTGGATTAAAGAAAACGCAATGAAATGCTTGAGGAACTGATAAAAATGAACTTTCCTGGCTGTACCAACATTTTGGGTAACTAAGTCAGAGCTGGTAATAGGACAACTAAGACTTTAAAGACATTGTAACAACGACAAAATTTAAATAGGTTTCAAAATCGTCGGAACGGTCGAACGCTTCATGCTCTGATGGCATTTTTCCTGCGTTCTTTTAAAAAAGGAACTTCTATTTAGACTCCGAACAATTTACCAAAAGCTTGGCGAATGGCGAGGGTTGTGATCGTGCTAAAAGCAGATATGGGCAGCACGGTTTAAAAAGTGTCTGCGTTAAAGCTTCATCGACTTCGCAATCGCACTTAGATCACACGGAGGAACAAAATAAACCATATCGCCTTGGTTTTAAAAAAAAACACATATGATTTTGCGCCAAACAAACGTTTATTTACTTTGAACAGATTTATTTTTGGAGATTTTTTCGTTTGAACACGATTTCGTTGTGCACTTCACAGATGCTTTTTCATAATTAGAAAAACTGAAAATAAAAATTTAAAATCATATGTTTCCCCCAATTAGATTTGACCCAGAACTCATTCTCTATAAAAAATTCCTAGACAACACCATTCTGTGATCGGTCGAACAAACTTTTCACAAGCTACAAAGTGGCGTTGTTTGAAATTTTATTATTAGGCTGAACTGATTCTTGATAAAAATTTCTAGACAACAAACTTATGTTCTTTAAAAATACTCTTTCTGTTAAACAATTTCGAATCGCTAACATAGAAAAACCAAAAATTACGCTGGTTGAAAAAACCATGTTAAATTTTTTTTGGAATGAAAATCGCCAACCAGGTATATTTCACAATTTTATTCAAAATATGTAGAAACTGTTAGAGCCTTTAAATTAGATAAGAACACTGAGCCGTTCTTGGATTCATAAATTAGTTTTGGGTGATGAGCTTCTAAATCAATAAGCTTCTTCTCTTCTCCAGCTCCAAAATGAATTATCTTAGCTTAGGTAGCTTGGTGGAATTCCATTTTACGCCGTTGCATTGTCAGTTCCATAGAATAGAGTATTTATTAGTGATACTTTGGATAGAATCGAGTATTTCTTTGCTTTAGTATTATCGAAATTTATCGGATCATCCATATCTATTAAGTTATCGGAATGTGGAATGGAGTTAATGAATTTGATCAATGTTAATTGTGTTATCGAAATTAATATACTGATATTTATCGAGTTATACAAATTTATCGGATTATCGAAATTTATCAAGTTGATGAAATTTCATTTTATATATTCATTGAATAATCAATATATTTATATCGAGTGATCAAAATTTTGTTAGGTTATCGAAGTTTATTGATTCAAAAAAATTTATCGAGTAGTCGTGATGTATCGAATTCTTTCAAATGATCGAGTTATCGATATTTATTGTTTCATCGAAATTTATTTCTGGTTATCGAAATTTGTCAGTTTATGGAATCGAAGTTTATGGTTTTTTCAAAATATAACGGGTTATTTAAACTTCTAGAATTACATGAGAGTGTTTCGAGTTATCGAAATTTTTAGATAAATAGAAATTTGTGGAGCTGTCAAAACCGAGTTATCGATAAACATACATATATCGAGATATGTAAATTTTTCGGTTATCGGAATTTTTCCAGTTCTGGGAACGCACAGTTATCTAAATTAATAGAGCTGTCGAATTTTATCGAGTTATCTGCATTGAGTGATTTTGAAATTCATTAAAGCTCGTAATTTTTTTTAAATTTGTCGAGTTGTTGAGATACATAGTGCCCCATGGTTCCCGTGTCACCCTAATTGAAAATTGTATTTGCTCAAGACAAATTGTATGCCACTGGCAGTAGACTTTGTTCATTTCACAGATTGCGGTTCTTAATTTTAGATACTTCAAACCGAGGTTATTGGTTTTTATAAAAAACATCGTTAATAGAGAAATTGGTGCTCCGTTAAACTGTACCGCTAATAAATATATTCAAAAAAAGATATGCTTACAACCTTTTAGTCACGTTTTAGTTCCAATGCAGGAGATTTTCTTTTGAGTAATTTTTTGCCTTATAACTTAATCGATGTACTGTATTTGAAAACATACCCAGGGCTCTAAAAAATTAGAAAAACGGTAGGGTTTCGTCTGCAACTGGCACTCCTAGTGTGTATTTAATTTCCGGACATTCGTACGGAAAATGAAATATGCCATCCAAGCAGCAGCTGTACTCTGTTCTATAACCTGAATACTTTGCAGATCCACTGTTTGTGTTTTTCTGCTATTGTCAAGTCTAAATATTTTACAAGGCCTTTGCTTTTTTCACGAAACGCTGTTAAACTACTGTTTGTGTTGTCCGCTAATATTCCTATGCCCAAGAATACCGGCAAAAGAGAAAAACATTGATTGTGTTACCAAGCGTTTCCCTTCCTTACTTTACAGTCATTTGCAGAGAGCGACTAAGTGGGTTTGATTCTGAGTTCCTACCGTCTTTGAAGGCGTATCAGATAATTAAGGATAATTTAATTGCTAAGCACTGAGAACCATTTTTAGTCTAAGTAATATGACGTTGATTACCCAGCTTAACCTAACTTTAGAAAACTGTATAGCCGATGGAAGGGAAAGTAATTGCTTTACAAGTAATTTCAGTTCCACTAAAGACTACAAAGATGGATAAGTTAATAAAAGTTGAAGCAAAAAAACATGGCAAGAAGAAACTTTAAACCATCCTTTATGTATCTGAATACCGCATTTTATACAATGTACATATGTATGTATGTAATAGTAATGCTGATTGTGGAGATGGATATCAAATGGAGTAATTCATCTTAAAGTGTAAGAAATGTTAAAAAAAAAATTCTGCATATTAATTTTCTGAGTCATCAACTTCAAGTCAATACTGGTTATTGGTTTAAAATACGTACATATACAAATGTACATACTGACATACTATCTTCTAAGAGAAAGGAGTTGAAAAGAACAATTGCAAATTGATTAAAATCGTATCCGTTTGTGGTTTCAATCAAACAAAAGTAAAAAATAAAAATTCAAAGAATACCGGTTATTTTGGGAACTACAAAAATAACAATAAATATTGAAAAGCTTTTAAATATATGCGCAAATAAATCTCATGCGCCCTCTTCACCTGCAATTAGTGGGTTATCGTGATGGTCTTTAAATAAGAGCTGGGACAACCAAATTTGTATGTAGGGAACCTCCGCAAAATCATTTCAGTTAATTTGTATGGAGAATTGTAAAATCGCTAAGCCGTCATTGCAATTAATTTTAACACCCTTTTTCGAAGTGCTTCATTCTTTTTGTTTTTGGTTTCATTCAATTTATTTTATTATATAACCAGCTGACCACAGTTCTGCTTAAAAACCATTGTAATTAATTACTCTTCTTTTCTCTCTGCTTTATTTGCATTGCCTTTGTGTGGTGTGGTTTGGTCACTGGCTCGCCGATTAAAACACGCGCCGCTATAAATTTGCAAATGTATTTGTGTGACTTGGATTTGGCGAATTTCTGCTGTTGATGCTGACGTAGATTGTCCGAACTGTGTGGACGAGTCTCAGTACACGAACAAATGGACAATGCCGCTGCTGAAACTGGGCGAGAAGCGTTACTACCTCGGCATCTTCTTCAAGGTAAGCTAGATTCCGGTTCTGTAGATTTTTTTTTTATTTTAACAAAATGTATACTAAGTATATAAAATCAAAAGTATTCTACCACTTTTATTATGCGCATATGTACATACATACATATGTGTGTATGCTATACACTCGCATACATATACTCTTGCTATATAGACAAGTTTATGCATGTATCTGGACTAGAAACTGTCAACTGCATTTTTTCGTTTTTCCTTTGCCGGTTTGCTTTATTTTATTTGATGTTTTTTTTTTTGTTTTTTTTTTTGTTGCACAGCTGCAAGTTTTGCACTGAAATAATAATAAAGCCATGGGAATCTTGCAATAAAATTGTGTACTTTTGCATTCATATATTTTTCATGAAGCGCTCAGACAGACTAGTAGTAACGGCTATTTGTGTAGGTAATGCAAACAGTAAATAAATTTTTTAACAGCACAGTTGCTGCATCTTGCAGCGCGATTGAAGCGAAGCGGTACGAAGTTATTGGCGCCGCGGGTGATGTTGCTTGCTTTTTATGAGCCATGATTGAAAGTTGTGGGTTGTACATACATACATAGGTGCAAGTTGAAGGAAGATTAAATTTAAGTTACACAAATTGCGACAATTTAAATTTATTATAAAGCAAATGAAATATTTCAACGTAGTTGACAGGGTAGCCACATGAAATGGCTGCTTGAAAGCAGATAAAATGCGCAAATTTGTAGACACTCATTTGATGTGCGAAATAATTAAGTTTCTAGGAAAAAAAACAAGTTTTGTTAAACACCCATTTACTTTCATTTGTTTAGCGATTTTATCTACATATTTAACGGGTTTGTTTAATTATTGAAACACTTTGTTATATCAAAATTTAATGGGCTACGAAACTGTATACTCAAAAAAAAAAAAAAAAATTCTAAAAAAAATTTTAAAATTTTGAATTTGTAATGTACTAGCTTTACCCAACTTCGGTGTAAAAAAAATTCATAACTCAAATTATTGTAGATAACACCCCGTACTACTATACTTAAATATTGCGCAATACTCAGAGCTACCATTGTGATTTTTTTTTTCATTTTTTTTGAGATGGCATATGTGCTGTTAAGTTTTTTAAAATGTATTTATCAAGCTCAAATTTAATATTTATTTATTATTTATGTTAATGCATCAACCCTAAAAATTTGTAACAAATCAAACACATGAAGTGTAAACCCTGTCCGGTTTTTGGTATGGAACAGCCCATATACATGCATAATTCTTCAATAGATTACGTTTGCTATGCGGTTAGAATGTGAAAAAAAAACCTTGAGGTAAAAAACAGCAAAACACTTATGGTGTCTTTATTTCTAAGGAAAATTGTCGCCTTTTGATTTCCCCTTTCTCTATTCGCGATCGATTCTAAAGCAGGGATCACACGATGTGTACATTTGTACAGATTTGTCCATTTTCACCGTTACAGAGTGGTGTTGTTTGGAAATCTTTTTACCATATTTATCCTATAATTTTTCCACTGAACTAATAATAAACCAATATGGCAGCTTCATAATTCATCTTGTTGAATAAAAAGTTTGAAATATATTCGCTAACCTTCTTCCTTGCCACAAATCGAGAATCGGCTGCGTCGAATGAAATTATGCGCTAAAAGATTATGGAATTATTTAAAGCAGTTAGGAGATTTTCAAAAACTATACCATTATAATCTAAGAATCAACAAGAAAATTGTGAAATAACAAGAACTACTATTTTTCAATAAAAAAATGTGTTACTGTTTTGGAAACGCATTCATTAGTCTTTTTAGCGTTTTCCCACCTTTTTTGTAATCTTCATGTCTCTTTTGGCGTGAGCCCAGAATTTCTCAACCGAACTCAATTTGCAAACATTTCGGTAGATTGGCTTCTCAAAAACTATCAAAACTACGTCTTTCTTTCGAAATCAGTATACTAAGTACCACATAATAGAATAGAAATTTCATGCCTGATCTGAGCAATATTCAAACAGTTATCGGACCTCAGCAAGCATTGGAAAACATACGAGTGTATTCCTGCAAAATGCTTACAAAAAAACCATCCAGCGGATCGTGTGAAATGGTACTAAAGGTGTATGCTACCAATTGCAATTTTTTTTTCTTAACAATATTAAGATTAAGTAGTGGACCTCCATATTAAAAAACAAACCATTAATAAGCAAAAATAGGACCACATATGTACATACATATGTATTTACTTATGGATTGCAATTTGTTTCTGTCACAGCTCATGTCATTTTTGACCATTTATATCTTATTTCTTATTTTTTCCCCAACAAAACTCAAAAGTCACTCTGGCTTAATTGTGAAGGTCGTACACCTCTACATAAATAAAAAAAAAACAAAGGCGTTATGTGCACATGCGCGTATTTTGGTAGGCTGCATAAGCGTTCATGTAGCTAAATAATGCACAAATTAGATTTAGACGCCTTTAACTAATATTGACTAATTGCCGTAAAAAAAGAGATTCATTCATTATACACCTGCCACAGTTCACCCAATTAAAGTTTAACTAATAAATCAGCACAGCCACTTGGCAATCTGGCGTATTTCTGATATATGTACATATGTATGTATGCATGTATGTATGTTTATCTTTTTGCCTCATCTGCGTATAGATTAAAATTAAAATATAGATATCTCTGACTTTTCAACGTTGACAAATTGCAAGCTTACTGAATGTGCTTCGACTTGGACATACATACATATATACATATTCATATGCAGGCAATTAGTTAAATGTTTGGAAAATGCGCGTGCGTATCGCGCGAGTAAATTACGAACTGCCATTACGGCGTTTCTAAGGTTTGTGCTGTTGAAATCCCTCCAGCCATTTAGCATGAAAATCACATACATTTTATTAAAAGCGACATTGTGTTTACGCTTTAATTAAGAACGTTTAATGTTGTGACACTTTAATTGCCACTAAATGACTTGTAGGTTGGTTGGTTAGTGATCGTAAAATAAGTTGGTAATAAGCAGTTGCAGCTGTTGAAATCAATTAGTGAATTTTCAAGTTACTAGCAATAAGTCAATTTGATATACTTACTTACTTATGTATTACTTTACTAAGTTGTATGCACTTTGTGGTATGTAGTAGTAGGAAGTTCTTTAAAAAAAAAATTTATTAGGTATCTTAAAAACCCATAACCCCTCTAATAAGCTCGGACAATTAACTAACTTATCTCAAATCACAACCAGTCCTTGACAGCCGATTGCACAAACTTGCAATGGAGTTTGTAATCTTTCCAGTCGCATATTGACTATTAGCCCTTTTTAGTCCTTACGCTTAAGGGAATTAGAAGGAATTTTTTCCACTAAAAATATTCCTTTATTTGAAAGTCAAACGCCCAATTGATTTTTGCTTTGGACCGGCACTAAACAACTTCGACACACGCGTCGCGAAGTAACGACAGTTGTACATCCCGAGTGCAGATAGGTCCTTCCGCACCTTGTCCTTCCATTGTGTTGCCTTTCTATCGTTGTCCACTCATAGGTACGGACCTGGGCATCATCAGCCTTGCCCCCTACTGTGTATGTATGTGTGTCCACTTCATTATAAATTTTGTAGAGTTCGTAGTTGCAAAATAGTTCTCTCGACAGCAATCAAAGCCTGTTCATGCTTGTTCGACATCGATCACGTTTCTACGCCATATATAAAGATGTGCCTGATGAGAGATTTGTACAGCGTTATTTTGTTGGTCGAGAGTGGACTCTCCATTTCAAATGACTTCCGAGGTTCTAGTGCCACCTGATAGCAAGAGTTATCCTGCACTTGATCTGCAAGTTCCCCTGCGGTTCAGATTGCCAGCTCGCATTATGCATTTCAACTGCAGATTGAACAATTCGCCCGAAAATAAGTCGCCTTATCTAAAACCTCGTTTGGTCTCGAATGTCGTGAAGAGGTCCTTCCCAATTTGAACCAAGCTATAGGTTGTGCTCAACGCCACTCCACATAGTCGTATCAGGCTTTTTCGGCGATACCAAATTTAGACATGGCATCGTAGAGGTAGATTCTCTTCGTGCTTTCGAAAGCGGCTATAAAATCGACGAAAAATTTGTGTGTGTTGATCTGTTTATCTAAGGTTTTTCCAGTATTCAACGGTCATAGAAAATCTAGTCAATGGTGGATATGCCAGACATGAAGCCATGCTGATAAAGTCCAATGAGCTGGCCCATGATGTTGAGAAGTTCAATCAGCTGGTTCGTAAAGGGATTCAGTCTTTTACGCATTAGGCCCATGAAAGGAGCTTATATGCAATGTTGCGAAGGGATCGGACAAGGTAGCAGCTCTTTGCCGCCGCCTTTGAACCACTCAGCCGGTATTTCGTCAGCTGCAGAGGCTTTGCTGTGCCCTATGGGTTTTTCTTAAAAAGCACTCTGAATATCGGTTACCAGATTTCCTTTTAATTTCTGAAAGAACCAGCCACGTTTGTTTAAAACTTGGATTTTTTCTTCCCGAGTCATTAGTAATACCCAAGTTCGAATTATGAGTACTCTGCTTGGATATATGTATTTTAGTCCGCTCTTATTACGAGTGCTTTCAAAGGTCGCAGATGTCCGTTGTGATTCTCAGAGAAAGAAGATTTCAACGGAAGCCTCTCTACACGCCCCCATAAATGGTTCCCACTCTTGCAGCGTCTAAACAGCTGACGCAATGAAACTGTGTCGAAAATGTCAAGTATTCGAAGATTAGTCAATTCGCTTTTTATAGTTGCTTCATCTCTTTCCTCAACTTGGGGCCTAAATGCTTACAATTAATCGCATAGGTACATATATTTTTTTGGAAAAAAAAACTATACAAATGTCTCCTTGCTTAACTTTTCGCTTCTATTACTCTGCCCATAGCTTTATTTGTGAGTTTTGTCCAAGTGTTGCATAATCATACAAGTATATGTGTTCGAGTAACCTTAGCCTCATTGCTGCCAATAACAGCATACAACTTTTTAATGACAGTACATCCAATGAGTTAACGGTTTATTTGTAACACTTTTGCTATGCGAAAATCAAAAAGAAAACATCAAGAAACTTTTACTTTTACTCAACAACTTTCCTACAGGAAATAGCAACAAATAGTTCAGGTCATGAAAGTAGAACAGAACGTTGTGTCATGCAGCAAGTGGCAACAACAAAATTAATTGACGTTCTTGGCTCAAACGCATACATTTACTTACATACATATACATATAGTATAATTATACTCGTACATACATACATACATATGTCTATGAATGGCAAATCTTCACCTGCATAAATATTATTTGGGCCGTTAGGCTTACTTTTCATCAGCATAAGGTTGGTACTAATTAGATTGTGCAACAAGTTGAGTTCACTTATCAACATATTTATTTAAGTACATACATACGTAATTACACATATATGTATGTATGCATGTGCACAGCGCTTACGTTCTTATGTAAGTACTAGGTATCTCTTTTAGAGCTGTGTGTGTTCGCTAAAGTGGTAAATGGCGTCGAACAGATGCGAATTTACGATGTAATTAATTAATTTAAGACTATTAACTTTCGCTTGAGTTGAGAATGGAAAAAGGCAAAGGCCGCAAGTATGCATGCACATGTTCCCACATACAAATAGTCTGTGATATACACATGTGTGTATGTACGTACATATATGAGCATAATGCACTGCAAATTTACACAAAAATATCCGGAATTCTTTTGAAATTTTTATTTTAATAGTAAACGAAACCAGTACACAATTAAGAAGCGGAAATTTTAATAAAAGCCAGTATATGTATACCCTACTACTTTTTAGGTCCCGAAAATGCCGGGATTATTTGCTAAGAATCCCACGATTTTCGAGATTTATACTTTGCACGGGTGGCAACAATAAAACGTTTTATGTTGACCAGTTTTTGCTAATATTTATTTGTTTTATTTAATATTTAATATTTTTTGTATAAATGCCTAGTTCAGTATACATACACATTACACTGTGCGACAGACAAACGCACAAAAAATCAATATATTCTCTCTGACGTCAGGATTTTTTAAAAGGATTTTGAGAGTTGAATAATATGAGTAATTCAGAAAATCATTTCAAAATTTCATTGCAATTTATTTAGAAAAACTGTACATTTATCAAATTAACGAGAAAGAAAAAGGAAAAGAAAAAGAGATCAAATTTTTTGGTGCATAAGGTTGATTAAAATGCCTTTTTTAAATTTTATCTTTGAATTTCCTTGAAATTTTGGAATATTTATTTTGAAACAATTATATGTTAAGGACTAATATAGCCTCAACCACATTCCCGAATATAGTCCTTCTAGCGTTATAAGCTTAAAAAAATAAAATTGATTAAACGACATTTTCAATTCCCATTCGTCCTTGTGAACCCAAAAATTTTATTTTTTTTAACTCTACATAATTTTCTCTTTCATTTGGTACTCATTTTTATTTAACAATGCACTGAATTTTTTAAATATTTTTTTGAATTTATCATATCTTTGAAATTATAAAGTCTTAAAAAAAATCCTCAAACTAAAAGCGATTCAATTCTAGGTAAGCAATTTTATAGCCCATTAAATTACAGGATGATAAAGTGTAAGTTGAAAGTTGCTAAAAGAACCGTTAATTTTTTATTATTATTTTTTTTTCTTAGGGTGTCACTCATTTTCTTCCATACAAAGTATGTTCGACAATTTATTTATATGGAAGAAACTGCCCAGCAACGTAGAAAAATGCCCAAAAATCAACGGTATTTTGTAGCTGCTTTATGCTTGCATTTTTTTACTATAACTTAATGGGCTATTCAACTGCGTACCTTAAAATTCTCAGTAAAAGTTTGGCCTTTTTTTTATTTCCAATAATTTTTGTACAAATTTTGAAATGCGCTTTATATGCAGTTAATTATATGTAAAAAAAGACTTATAAAAAATTTCTTTTATTTCTGCCACTAGTATTATGAACACCTTTCAAACACACAATACATTTTTCTAATTAATTTTTGTTTTGGCATCGAGCTTTTTTCGACATATCTTAAGTTACTTTATCAGATATGTACACGCTAAAGTATTATAGGAATAGGATAAATCGAAAAAATTAACATCCCTAGCCCCACATATGCATTTAGTGTATTTAAGACAAAACATAAAAAATCGCAAGAATGTGGATATCTATTCAACTGAAGAGTATGTATTTCCAATTAATTTACTAATGTACTAATATACTAATTTATTTACATAAGTATTTGCAAATGTTTGTGGCTTCCGTAAGCAAATTGCTTTATTTAATAAAAGCCAGGAGGGCATATGAGTATGTTGCACTGCACATGTGCTTCAATTGAGCAAATTGCGGTGACTTAAATTGACTGTCTCGTGATGTATTGCTCAAGTAGCAGCACTTGAATGTAAAATTATATTACATCAGAGTAGTAAAAGCAATTGACGACAGTAACAGTTGCTCTCAATGGTGTTTACTATTCATGCAATTGTGGTTAAATGCCAACCGAATTAACTTGGAAGTAATTATACATAGTACATATGTATGTATGCACAAGGATACGCACAGAAATACATATGTAAGATGAAATACGAGTTCAATTAGTCAAAATGGTTTTCAAGTGAATTAAATTCACTAAATCGCAAGCAGATGATACGTCAATGCTTTAGTAGCTAAACAAATTCAACTTCAGCCTATTTGTAAGCCAAATATATTTACTGGCCTTCCATAGTTTCAAGGAAACTTTTATACAAAGGTTACAAAGCACAATTCTGCTTGTTTTAAGAAAGTAATATTTCAATTTCTTTATACATATTACCAACAATTATTTTGGGTAACCTTTAAATTTGAGTAATGCACTTATTATTTGATGTTCTGTACACCAACACATTTTTGCTACTAAAACAGCATAGCCAACGTGTAAAATCACTTGCGAAATTGATTGCCCACACAGCGAGTAGCTAGCTACAGAAGTACTGACACATATTGCAACACCTTGGGTTGGTGGCTTAATTTTTTTTTTTTACCATCACCACGATATCTGGGACAAATTCAATAATGAGATTGCTTTCGAGAGAGCAAGCTTGGCATCCGTTGCAAGCCAGCCAATAGAGCGGCAATCAATGTGGCTGCGGCACTTCCAGTAGCATTCATTTCAATCGACCACTTTGACGCCTTAAAACTCTTTAAACCGACCAACCTGTTCAATTTACTTCCATTCATAATGTGATTGAAAGCTGTGAGTAGTCACATCGCATACATATTTATGGTTAATTCAATATGGCACATATGTATATACATACATACTTATATGTAGTTAGCAACAAATTGATCGCATTCAGACATGCACACAAACATGCGCTGCGGGAATGCACCGAGTAGTTTTGCTCAGCTTGCAATCATTTTTGACATTTTATGGATAACTTAAAAATACGGGCCGTTATGTGAGCATATGCGTAATGTGAATTATATGTAGATCAGTGTAGGCAATTTCTTGCATACATACATACCCATGGTAGGTTTATAAGTCTCCTGAAGTGAACAAGAGTTTTCCGATCGAAAAATTTTGATTTTCAAGAATTCTATACCATTTCTACGAAAATTTTTTTCCCCTATATAAAAATACATGGAAAACTTTGAGCGCTTTGAGCGACCTCTAAATATTTTTTGACTTCAAAATAAAAAAAATAGGGGGTATACTTTTTTCGTTATAGAACAATCCTAGGCGGTGAGAACATTACAATTCCGACTATACTTTTTTTTTGAACCACCCTAGTGTACACGCTGTGATCATTGGCCCCAGCCTCAAAAGTTTACTAATTTCGGTCATGTTTTTGGCGCAATATTTTTCCATTAAATTATTTCAAGATAAAGGATGAAAGGCTTACTTTATGAGAAGCTATTTTTCATGGCAGAAACACACTCGGAGGTTTGCCGAGGGGCGACGGCTGTTAAGAAACAACATTTTTTTCTGTATATTTTTGCGATGTTGCTTTGACCAGGGCTTGAACCCAGGCACTTCGCAGTGGAAGCGCGCACTGCTTACCACTACACCACAGCGGCCGCCAAAAATGAAATTTTAACTGTTAATTTTTGATCGAAAACATATCAATAAAAAAAAACGATTGTTTATCGATTTTTTTTTAAACGCATGTCTAACAGCTAAGGTGCCTGATGTTAGTCCATATTACTACGTTGGATGCCAGTCAAGAAATTTTTCGCCCCAAATTTTATTTACGATAATGCTTATCAAACTTAGGGTTAATATTTTTTACTTCAACTTAAGACTGCCATATAGTTTAAATGCGCAGTTTTTCATTCAAGTAATCTTAAGTAATTAATACGTTTTTTTTTTTCATTTTCTTCCTAGGCGAATTGGTTCAAAGCGTCTCAATATTGCCGATACCATGGCATGCATTTAGCGAGTATTGCATCACAAGAAGAGAATGACAGACTGGAAAAACATATCCGCGACTTTGGTAAGCATTTATAATCTCTATGCACGTAAGTAGCCACTGAGTCGTAAAATAAGTAGCAGCAACAACGCTGGATAGTCACGAATAATTACAAGTATGGGCAAATCATTTTTCAAATGAGTCGAATGCCTGACATACCTACCTACATACATATGTACGTAGTTTTTATCGGACAACTTAATATTTAATTCAAATAGTTGCGAAAAATGCTGCAACTACTTAAGTTTCTGGAGCACTAAAAATATTAGATTCAACAAAAAAAAAAACTAAAAATTCATTAAATTATTACGCGTTGCAACTTATCAATGAGCTCACTCGCCTTGTCTATCAACTACGCGTCGTTTTTATTCTTCAACTAAATAAACCTTCGAAAGAGACTTTTCTGTTGCCAAGTGAAACAAATGCTTTTATTGCATTTTTTTGCAATTTTTTGTGGCTTTGTGTCATGCTATGCCCATATAATGTTGCGCAATATTAAATGCAAGAAAGGTATGCCCGAAGTGAATGGCGCGCTCTAACCGTATACGTAGACTTCATTGTGTTGAGTGTCAGCCGCTAAGCCTTGATGGTGGCAATGGTGGTCAATGCACCTATTTAGCCTCACATAATACCCGGAAAAAAATGGAAGGCACAATATTTTAATATTTATTTTAATTCCCTCTTTCTGTTTTTTTTTGTTTTTTTTTTTTTTGCTTTGTAGCGAAGCAAGTAAAAGTGCACGCCAGTTAACAAGCACAATAACTGTCGGTGCAAAATGGATTTACGAGTATTTGCATGACTTATGAGCGTATGTTTGTATGTACTAAATATGTATGTATAAAACATGCAGTTTTAGGTACCAACATTCTTACATAGTTACATATGTACATACATTCAACAATAGCTACATATATTAGCTTAGCAAAAGTAGCCAACTGCTTTGTTGCTACTACATTTTTGCTGTTCACTTTCAACAAACCACACTCAACGCTGCAGTCAGTGAGTTAGGTAACCATTTTACTTACGCTAAACATGCGAATCATATGCCGCCCTCCTTAGTGCTCTGGCAGTCACTCGGCTACGACCCAGGCGTTGGGTTATTGTGATGCCTCTGGCGACTGTGGTCAGCCAACAAATCAAGCTGGCCGTATGTTTCTTCATTTAGCATGCTGCCCAAGCTTTTTTTTTTTTGTTTTTTTTTTCGTTGTGCGCGCTCTGCCTGAAAGCTCCAATTTCTGAACTTGGCTACATTCACTCTGGCATTCCTTTATACATACATACATACATATTCGCACATTATTTAAACATACATATGTACATATGTAGGTACAACAAAAATTTACATACATAATTATATACAATATTAATGCTCTCACATTTTTCATGTGCCTGCCCGCCCGCCTATTTGTGTCTCAACAGGTTTCGGTCACGAACACTTCTGGACTTCTGGCACTGACTTGGCCGATGAGGGCATCTTCTTTTGGATGGCCAACGGTAGACCCATAACATTCACGAATTGGAATGCCGGCGAACCGAATAATTTCCGTTACGAGAATGGCGAGGAGGAGAATTGCTTGGAGTTGTGGAATCGCGATGGCAAGGGGCTGAAATGGAACGATTCACCGTGCAGTTTCGAGACGTATTTTGTGTGCGAAGTACAAGCGAATTAACGACAAGGGTGTTGAGTGAGTGGCGCACAAAAACAAAAAAAAAAAAAACGTTAAAATGACAACAGTGAAATGGAAAATATTAAGCAAAAAATAGCGAACTGAAGAGGAAAATTTATGTTTTTGTGTTTAGTTTTTTTTTTTTTTATTTGTTTTCGGCTAACGCAAACGTCGTACTGTGTTCTATTTTGGAAAAATGGAACAAAATCAAATGTTTCGGGAATGAGCAGAGAGGCAGCGTAATAAATGTAACCTTTTTTAGATGGAGAATTCAGAAAAATTTGCTCGTTGGATTAAAAAATTACCATGACCTTCAAAGATTAAGGACTTAAATTTTCGTGTTTTTTTAGCGGAATCTCGCAATGAACCTTTTGAAAAATTTTAAATACATAGTTTTGTTTTTCTTTCGTCAAGCAGTCTATTTCCATAGTCGCAAGTACCGAGCAGCGCGTTTTTAGATTTTTTAAAAACATCACTACAAGCTATTTTTGGGTAAAAGGATACAAAGGGATTCAAAAATTTACTTTCATTGAGTGAAACACTTAATTAACTTGAGCTCAAAATCGACCCTCAAAGATAAACTTTTTGAATGACCCAAAATAGCATTTAATGTACTTTTTAAAAAAAATTTTAAAAGAAAAAATTAGTAAAAAGTAAAAAATTAAATTAAATTAAATTAAAAAAATTGTAAAATTTTTTTTTAAAAATTAGGAAAAAGTTCATTGCATGCTGGTTTCGGATCAAAGAAAAGTAGAAATTGAAAACCTTCCATTTTTGAAGGTGATTTTAAAAATCAAGGCAATTCTTTTATCTAACGCGATTATTTTTCCCGAATTGCCCATCTCAAAAGCTTTAAATACCGTTTTAATTTTTCGCCATCTCTTCGGGTCCTCGCGATATTAGATTTTGTCCCTTTTTTTCAAAACCTGGCCATAGTGCGCCGCCACATAAATATTAATTTTATTGGAAAGTTTCGTTCCCTCATAAGCCACGGACGGTATTTTATTGGTGATTAGGCGCACTTGCAGCACGCACGTGAACGTTAAGTACGTACTCTATTCTAAGCAATGCGCAATAAATCACATCAATCACAGGAGAAGGCAATATTTTTTTTTATTTCTTTTAGTATAATTTTTTTTTTTTTTTTTGTTTCATATTTCTTTAAGCGTGAAATTTCCATTTTTCCCTAATTTATGGCAATTATCTGCGCGCAAATTTGCTTGCCGGCACGAAAGTTCTGTATCGTCGCGCAATCAGCCGTACGCCACTCCAAAACGTGGATTTTCTTATTGCACATTACGTATACGCACCGGTGGCGCACGACCGATGACGTGACGCTGACACGCATGTGTGTGCGTGCCGGAGCATAGATATCGTGTTCGTCGTAGCAAGTAGAAGGCATACGTAGATTTATGAATATTTAAATAGGTGTTAGAGTGGTGAAGCAGACATAATTTTCATCGCTATGAAATGAGAAAAAAAAGAAGAAAAAGAAAAACGTTTGTTACTCATACGACCCGTACACCCTCGATAAATTGTCATGCGTAAGCGTAACTTGTATTAGCTCTCGAAAAAAAATAAAATAAAAATAAGGTAATCGATATACATGCACTGCCTTAGCATTATCTAAATATGTACGTACGTATATGTAAGTAATGTATAAATTATTTTCGTTTAGTTAGTGTCCTTTTAACTTATGCCTATTGTAATTACTTGTATGTAGATATGTATAAATGTGTAAGCTTAAAGACTTAAATGTAAAAAGCTGCATCTAAACTAAGTATATCTATCTATCTATAGCAAAAGCAATTCAAATCACAACACAATGAAGATAAAATATGTTTGTATGTATTTGTATGTACTACTTATGTAAATTTTTAATTTAAGCAGGAAAGAATAAACGAGAAAAAAGTAAAACGTAAAGGAATTCTTATGTTTGGCCACACATTTCACTTTCATTCGCTCCAATTTCAAATTTCAATACAATTTGAGGAAATTAAACTCAATTTGCATAAGCCGCAACGAAATTTCAATTAGAAAAGTTTTTCGGCAACAGGCAGACAGGAAAAATGTCTACGCTTGAAAGCGCAACAAACTCGGCGTGGGTATGTACCGAAAAGCAACAACAGCAAAGTAAATGGAAAGGTTTTACAAAAGCAACATGCAAAAGTGTTATGGAGGAGGCCTAAAATACACTCTGTCGCCCAGCTGTTGCAGGTAAAAATATAGTTTGGTATGCTAAGCATTGTAACCGCAAGTGCGGAGGTAAACAGAAAAAAAAAATGAAATCGCACAAAGTTTACTATAACTATGTGTAACAAAATACTTGGCATTTCAGCTATATTAACCCAACAAAACTTTCTGCGACATTTACATAACAATATGTTGGTCGTTTGCTGGGTAGAACTTCATACTGCAGATAAAGGGGGTTTTGAGTTAAGTATGCATATAGAATAGACTGTCAATACTTTAGGGCACTTTGGGTTCAAAGCATACACAGAGACACAGCAGCATCATCTCTCGTAGTTCTCGTAATTCATGGATGGCAAAATGGTGTAAGTACGACTAAGCACATGACGCTCATATCAATGGACAGCTAAACTATAAAATGAAGAATGGTGTAAGAGCTGCTATGGACTTGGAATTAGAAAATCTTTGAGGCAGCCATACCAATGAATTTTTATTTTTTCAGTAAAACTAACGGCGGAAAAGATAGCAGGGGGGCAGCAGTCAAACCCCGATAAGGCTAAAATAAATATGTATCAGTTATTACAAAAAATTTAAATTTTTACAGGCTTCTGGGCCATAAGGGCACTGATGAAAATGAAAGCGGTGGCGTCATTTCTAACGAAGCAATACTTCTTGGCGCATCAATGCTTCTTGACACATCACACTTTGAGGAGGTGCCAATACCCTGTCAAGCAATTAAACGAACGGTTCGAATGACATATGCAACAGCAAACCTAGAAAACATCGTAGAAAGCAGAAGGAAAAGTAATGCGAAACCCGTGAGCAAATCGTAAATTAGGAAGCTAACTAGCCTTGCAATATTTCTCAATGAAACAATCAGCCTTTCACTCAATATTTTACTAATACTAGTAGATACTAACAACAATTCGCTGGATAAGTCACTTTGAGACTGCGGCAATTACCCGGCTGGGGGGAGCTACTCACAGTGGCCACACCGCAATTCGAAAGGGCATTAACCTATCGCGCAGGGACTACTGTGCACTAAGTCTAAATTTTACAAAGATGTTTAAGATATCTAAACTAGATAGGGAATTTAGTTTAAGGGGGCTTGGCACATAAACAAAATGTAACACTCCACTTCTACACTGATGGTTCAAAACTAGAGAACTTCCACCCTCTTCTTCACTTGGTATGGCTGCCAGGGCATCGAATCATACCAGACAGGGAAAAGGCAGCCGTTGGCCTGCTAAAAAGCTACATTACCATCGGAAATCACGCGGATAGGTTCGGGATCCTCGTAATAACTTTTGCAGAAGCGCAAAAGGGCCAAAAGCCTTGCGGCCCCTATTATCATCGTACAGTTTCCTAAGTAAAAACACTGTCAGCTCTTTACTTTTACAATTTCTTTAATTTTTATTAGAGTTTATTCAAAATACACCAACACACTGAACCAAAAATACGAATACACCAAATGTAACACAGCTTATTGACCTTTGAAATTATGTTAGACCTACATATAAGTATATCATGGATAAATTGAATATTCAACTTCCTTACTAAATCGACGGATTTGCGCACCACAGTGTCTGGTTTGTAAAATTGAAGAATTGAGATCTTAAAGAGGTCGATCTATGTGGCTTCTTGGACATCTAGGAGGCTTTTGATAATACTGCCGATGAATCTATTTCAAAGGTTTGAGTCGCGACACCTTTCTTCGTGATTGTGATATATGTATTTGATAAAAGTACCGGGACGTTTTTACAGCACTTTTTTGTAAGTATCGTTACGGAACAAAACTCGGAAGCGCTGTTTCATTCATTTCATTATCAAACTGGTGTGCCAAGGAGAGCATCCGCATAAACTCGAAAAAGGCTATTCTGGTACCGTTTACAAGAATTTATAAGCCGAACCCTTGTTTGGCGATCCTTGGATAGACAGAGTTTGAATAACCTGACAAAGCAAACTATCTCAGAATAACCCTCGATGAAAGACTTAGTTGGAGCTGGCATATGGACATACCTATTATTAAAGCCACCCGAGCCATGTGGCCCTGTAGATGACCTCTTTGCCGGACAACAGGTCTGAACTCTATATTTAGAGAATGGCTATACCGCATAGTTGTCATTCCGGTTGTTAGGTACTTATGACTCCATATTATGGTGACCGGAAACATTGCAAAACAAACTTCAAGGATATTTTTATCCAAACAGCGGCAGTCGATGAATTTGTAAATGAAAATATCTTCCTTCTTCCTACACTAGGCTAATGTAAGTTAAAACTCTATCCAAGCACGCATACACTCACTTCCCCCTTTAATTCGTTGCTCACTTTTTCTCATCTTCTACGTCTCCCCGTCTCCCCGTTTTCTAATTTTTACTTTCACTTACATACAATTCATTCATATCCTTTACCTTTACATGCAGCCCGCCCTAAATGTCCACACTTATCCAATAACAACTTGCTGCTTACATCCGTTACCGGCACGATTACACAAAAGCCGTTTCGGTTGAGAGCCAAACGGCTGGGATAAACACGTTTTTAATCTCCCAAACAATGAGCATAAAGCACCTCAAAACATCAGTCTGCTGACCCATAGCAACAACGTCCATAACCATAACAACTACATACATATGTACATAAGCAAACATTGCAACAATAATAAAAATGTCTGCCCTGCGAACACTTACCGTACCTCTGGGTCATGCGCGCCCTTTTGGACTCTCACCACTATGAAGATTAATATGTATGTATGTATTTCGCTTGTCCACTTGGTGTCCCTACAAGACAGCTGAGTATCATATGAGTACTCATATTATCATTACTCCTAATCACAAAAGTGCTTATCAAAGTCCTCATTTTCGTTCAGGCCATGGGAAAAATTTGAGTACTTTCCCCTCAATGTTGTCATCAGAAAGTCCTCAGTACTAATAGTCAAACTACTCATTTATGCCGTACTACAAAAACAAAAGTGTAAATGTGTGAGAATTTTTGCCTAAAGTGCTCAGCAATGTCTTGTAGGGGTTTGTGCTTCGGCAGCCGACGGTGGGAGCAGCGGGTCCAGCAACTCTCAAAAATGTGTCGAATGACAGTTGACGTCTCGAAAATGTTAATCGCCTATAATGAATGCCATGCACATTTCAGCTAAGGATCAGCCGAAATACATTTACTCATATCACGTAAGGATGTATGTACATACAACCACCGACAGGCACACACACAAACACCTTAGGTATTTCGCTAGGTAAGCGCATATATATATATATATAAAGCTACATACTTACAGCCGAAAGACAAACTAGAGCAGCAAAAGTACTACCACCTCTGTCGTTTCCAACGCTGCAGCGGTCCTGGTTACTGGCATAGCAAAGCATGTGTCCGCACACAAAAAGTTTGCGACTCTTTTAGGCAGCAGGGTATACTACAACTTACTTTGTAATTTTCCTTTTTAACTAATTTCCTTTTGCTTGTTTTTGTGCTTGTAAAAAAGTACGTTGAAGCAAGCTGACAGCTCAGCGTCAACTTGGAGCTACCAAACATAAGAAAACATTGCATTGAATTAGCGGGCAACATTTAAATTGGAGAGTTCCTTGATATGTATTTATATATTAATGTACACTAGATATGTTAATCCCGGGATCCCGGTATTTTTAAGGACCCATAAATCCCGGGATTCTTGGCAAATAATCCCGGAATTTTCGGGATTTGTAATTTGCGCTGATGGCAATAATAGAAACTCTTTTCTTGAACAGTATTGGCTATATTTTTTTTTTTATTTCTAATTAATATTTTTTTTATAAATGTCTAGCTCATTCTACATATAACCCCGCGAGATAGTAAATTTTAAACACAAATATCAATATATTCGCGAAACCATGGGCCAAATACAGTAAAATTGCGTTTTTAATTTTTCACTCTTAGGTCGGTAATTCAAAAATGATTTAAAAAATTCAGGCAAGTGTGCTTAGAGAAGAAGTATGGGTATCAAATTAAAGAGGAAATGTTGTAAAATTTAAACAGATTCAATTTTTGAATCCAGAAGGACTGGTAAGTATTAGTAATGTACTTTTAAAGTTTTATCATTGAAACTTCGCCATATATGTTTTTGAAAAAACTATATGTTAAGGACTTAAATAAATCCGATAACATCCGCGAATTTTGTTCTCCTAACTTTATCAGATCAAAAAATTACCTATTTGTCCTTGTGAATCCAAAAATTTTTAATTTCTTTAAATTCTAAGGAAATTTCCTCTTGCATTTGGTACCCATTCTTCTACATTGCATTGAATTTTTTAAAGAATTTTTGGAATTAATCATATATATGAAATTAGAAGGTGCTTTAAAATAAATTCTGACGTCAGAGATAAAAAAAAATTAAAAACGCCACTTTAAATAAAAAAGTAGGTTTCAAACTCATTTATTTATTATTTATTTTATGGTAGTCCCGGGATCCCGGGATTGTGATAACGACATCCTGAAAATCCCGGGATCGGAAAAAGCTGAAAAAATTAACATCCCTAATGTACATACATATGGACATATGTAAGTCGCCGTGCTTTTGTTCTTGTGCGTATGCTCTCTACCTACGATGTCGCAGTGCGCATGTCCTATTTTATATACAACAACAAAAATCGTAAAGTGCTCGAAAGAGAAATATTCTCTGCGATTGGAAACAGTGGAACCATGAACAAGGTCGTGTGGATAGAAATTTGTTTAGCAAAGAATAATGGTGGAAATAATAGACGTCTACTAATGACATTTTTTTTTATCCTTAATCAGTCCTCGTTCAAAGCCTTTTAGAATTTGTCACCAATTTTTTAACTTTGTAAATCTTTTATATCAAAGTTATGTAAGCACATATACAGCTACCTAATCAGAACAGACTTGGGTAGGCGATGAACCCACGTAATTTTCGCCATTCATCAAGTAATTCAGGGACTGCGTATGTACGTCGTATAGCCGAATTAGCATCGATCGCAATAATTCCTGCTATAATCTACAAAACAAGTTTTATCAATGCACTCAGCCACCGCGCTGGTATGTAGGCAAGAAATGACCTATGTATATATGTATATACTACGGTTCTCTAGTACACAGGACCGCACTAAGTTGTGGTCAAAACAGTCAATAATACTTCGGTAAGTCAATATTTGTGGCCGCTGTGGTGGGCAGGA